TTCAAGCAATTCTTGTGCCTCAGCCTCCTGAGTAGCTGGGATTACAGGTGTGCACCACCACACCCGGATAATTTTTTGTATTTTTAGAGAGACAGGGTTTTGCCGTGTTGCCCAGGCTGGTCTTGAACTCCTGAGCTCAGGCGATCCGTCCGCCTCGGCCTCCCAAAGTGCTGGCATTACAGGCGTGAGCCACTGCACCTGGCCCAGAAAATCATTGAGTTCACCTATGACTGGTGCACAGCACCCCCTCAAGATGTCCCACCTATATATGTCAAACCAATGTACAGCCTTGGCTGAGCTCAGGAAGCAGGTAAAGCTGGCAGTCAAAACCAGATGGCAGTCAGAAGGATCTAGAACCTTCCCCCTGGAGATCCCTTCTTTCTCCACTTGCAATCACCCTCAGGTCCCAGCACAGGGTAGGGCTAGATGAAAACGCCCAGAGGAAACTGAAAGGCAGTTACGGAGCCAGCTGGCTGCGGGTCCCACGGTGGTGGCCTCGGGAGCTCTGGGGTGGGTTGTGCCCTGCAGTGGGCCTCATGCCTGTGACTGAGAGTGGTGTTCCGGCTGGGTAAGAGGCAAGTGCTCATCAAATGTTTCTTGAGTGAACAAATGAAACCCATCAAAACTGGCTGTTCACCCTGAGATAGAATAGATTTATTAGCAAGAGGTAATCAGGAAACATGTATTTTTACAAAAATGGAAATTTTTTTTCCAAACAAGCTGTAAGTTGAAATATTTTAGGACTTGAAATAGAATTCTCATACCACTGGGTATTGCTTACAGCAAAAGCTGTCTGTCTGTTGTAGTGGAACATGCCTGCCACTTCGGAGTTAACCTGTGTTTTCTATAATGTACAATGTAAAAAATACATGGTAATATTCACAGAATAAGCACTACATTACTATATTCCTGCTAGAAGGCATTTAGACAGGACTACAGTATATGCAATAAAAACACTTGGTAATTGATCTCCTAATTCTACAGTGTGGTACTAATTATCACAAGGTATACAGACTTAGAGCATCTCCACGTAAGCTTGTAGTGACCGTTAGGCGGCTTAAAGAGGAAAAGTGACGTTTTTGTGTTCCCGACTTCCAGTGAATGCTGGGCCAATGGTCAGCCAAAGTCGACGTGGCTTGGTGTTTGTGACTCCGTTTCCTCGGGAAGTTCTGGGGCCTCGTCCAGTTGTATTGAGACTGCTATTCATGCTATCTGGTGTTAATCCTACAGCGAGGAGCAACGTGGGGCCTGAAGGAGATGGCAGCATTGGTACGGGGGGCGTGGTTCTGAGCAGAGAGGACTCCCTTCCGTCCAGGTTACTGGGAGACAGAGGGGCTTTTTGAGACCTGCAATTTTGGCTGGAGAAGCTGCTTTGGAAATTGACATCACCATCAGCGGGAAGATTTGTCAATGGCTGGACTTCAGGATATGGTTTCCCCCTCCCGCCGCCCCCACCCCCCCACCCAGTTATAACAACTACATGGAACATGCTGGGAGGATGCCTGGGTGGCCACCTCAACCCAGGAGCCTGGGCTGGGGAGGGACGGAAGCAGGACTGGAGTCTAAGATTCTTGTATGCAAGGGTGCCGTTTCCCCTCTTAGAAGAGTGAGGAGTCTAGGGAAGAAGGACCGAGAGCACTGCAGGAGACGGGAGGGACGGGTGCTCAAAGTCCAAAACGGTGCAGAAATTCATATTCCGGCTCTACAGGAATCTAAGAACAAGGACGATTTGTATTCTTGGAGAAGCACATACTGAAGAAGAAAATCCAGTGAAACCAAACGAATATGTACAGTATCATCTAGCACGTGTCCCCGGGAGCAGCTGGGTCTGGGCTGGGCACAGCTTCAGGTGGGGAGTTTTGGTTCTATTCGGAGGGAAGACTCGTAGAGGCTTTCTTCATCCATTACAAAAGATTGGTCCAGTAAATACTGCGTTACCTGAGAAAAGAAAAAAAATGAGAAAAGGGGATGGGAGTGCTGTAGGACCTCTCTAATACTGACTGTGGACGTCCTTTTTCCCCTAGGACCCCAGACTCTTACTGGGGAGAGTCAGGTGGGCACATGAGGCCAAAAAGCATTTGGTAGTGTTCCATCGTGACATAAGTTTTAAGTAGTTGATGGAAGTATTGTCTTAGGATTATTATTTAATATCATCATAATGTCAAGGTTGGTGCAAAAGTAAAAAAAGTCAATTTTAGAAACTAGGTGGCGGATGTATGTGTTGACAATTCTGTCAGTGTTTCCGTATGTTTGAAAAGTTTCGTGAGGCTGGGCATGGTGACTTGTGCCTCGAATCCCTGCACTTTGGGAGGCTGAGACAGGAGGATCGCTTGAGCCCAGGAGTTTGAAACCAGCTTGGGCAACAAAGTAAGACCTTGTTTCTACAAAAAATATAAAAAGTAGCTGGGTATTGTGTTTTGCACCTGTGGTTCCAGTTACATGGGAGGCTGAGGCAGGAGGATCACTTGAGCCCAGGAGGTCAAGGCTGCAGTGAGCTCTGTTCACACCACTATACCCCAGCTTGGGTACAGACATTGTCTTAAAAATAAAATAAAATAGGCCGGGCGTGATGGCTCACTCCTGTTGGCCTGGCCAACATGGTGAAACCTGGTCTCTACTAAAAATACAAAAATTAGCCAGGCATGGTGGCAGGCACCTGTAATCCCAGCTCCTTGGGAGGCTGAGGCAGGAGAATCACTGGAACCCAGGAGGCAGAGGTTGCAGAGAGCTGAGACTGTGCCATTGCGGTCCAGCCTGGGTGACAGAGTGAGACTCCTCTCAAAATAAAATAAGATAAAATAAAAAATAAAAAGTTTTATAATAAAATATTGGGACAAAATATATTTAAACACTAGGATTACACAATACTGTGGGAGATTTACTCTAAGAGAGGCGAGTGGAAATGGAGGCTGCATGTGAGAAGAGCCTCCCTTTTTCTGGCCGCACGGGGCTCACCCTGGGGAGAAAGATGCACTCCCATGAGTTAGGCCATCCTCTCTTCTCTCTCCCCACCCCCACTCCTGCTCTGAAGCATTTGCTGAATGCCTGCACATTAACTGCCGTGAGAGATTCGAGCTCTAACCTCCCAGGCAGCCCCTGCTCCAAACACTATCTTTCTAAGACTTATTTATTTGTCAGTTGTTTGCAACTGAAGGCACATTTCCCCTCCATACATGCATCCAGAACAGAAAGAACAAAATTTTCTTTTCTGTTTGAGACAGCCTCTTGCTCTGTCGCCCAGTCTGGAGTGCAGTGGTGCAATCCGGACTCAATGCAACTTCTTCCTCCCGGGTTCAGGCGATTCTCCTGCCTCAGCCTCCTGGATAGCTGGGATCACAGGCGTGCACCACCACGCCTGGCTAATTTTTGTATTTTTAGTAGACACAGGGTTTTGCCATGTTGGCCAGGCTGGTCTTGAAGTCCTGCCCTTCAAGTGATCTGCCTGCCTCGGCCTCCCCAAGTGCTGGGATTATAGGTGCAGGCCACTGCGCCTGGCCAAATTTTCTTATGATGTTTGAGAATCTTCTGATAGCTGCATGAGAAAAATCCAGGCTGCTGCTTTTGTCTTGGCCGATTGACTCTGCTACTGTAAAGGATGGAACCAGCTCTCTGCTATGCTCATTAATAGTCACAGATAGTGATTACTATGTCTGATTAGCAGCTGATACCCATGACTTCTGGGAAGATGACTTTTTAGATATCACAGTCGGGTTTGACCTACACCCATTGATAAAGAAATGGCAATTTTATGACTGTGTGAAATAGACTTTTATACCTAGATAATAGCATCATGTGAACAGTCCTTGCTAGAACACATGAATCTCTACCTCCTAAGCCTTCTGGGGATCAACTAACTGATTAGTTTCCTCCATAGTGAGCATGTGCAAGAACAACTTTAGTAGAGACTGGGTTTTGTCATGTTGGACGGGCTGGTGTCGAACTCCTGACCTGAGTTGGCTAAGTCAGGCTAATTTTCCTAAGACATAGTACCTTTGAGGGAGACTGGCAGCATATACCACCATTGCAAAGCTGTTAATGGAAGAAGTCTCAAGATCTATCTATCTATCTATCTATCTATCTATCTATCTATCTATCTATCTATCAATCATCTATCGGTAGAGTTTCACTCTTGTTACCCGGGGTTGGAGAGCAGTGGTGCAATCTTGGCTCACTGCAACCACTGCCTCCTGAGGTCGAGCAATTCTCCTGCCTCAGCCTCCAGAGTAGCTGGGATTACAGGTGCGTGCCACCATGCCTGGTCTTTTGTATTATTGATAGAGATGGGGTTTCACCATGTTGGCCGGACTGATCTTGAATTGACTTTAGACGATCCGCCCGCCTTGTCTCCCAAAGTGCTGGGATTACAGGCATGAGCCACTGCGCCTGGCTGGTAATATTTGTTTGTAGTGTGCATCAGAGCTTGAGGGAAAGTTTAAGGAGACAAAAGCAGGAGATGAAAGAAAACCCTGAAATTTTGTTGGTAACTTCTGAGACTTTCCAGCACTCAATGTGGTCATGATGCCTTCTGGTTGAGCCCTGTGTAATACATGAACTGTGGCTCCCAGGCTGATGAACACACAAACACAGCCCCTCAAATACTGCTGAGTTATGTAGATACTTTTGTCTTAATATTTTTTATTGTAGAAGAAAAGACGTGACAATATAAAATACATTTTTGGAGAAAGAAGTTCATAATCTTACCACTCTAAAATAACTGCTTTCATTTTTCGTATGATTGTCTAGTTCTTAAAATACAAAATGACTTTTCCATCATTGTACGTATGGAATGGATAGCACTTGATATGCTTTCACTTATGCTATTAGGGAAAATGTCCATAACGATATCTCCAAAGTCACACTTTCTAGTGGCTGTAAGCCTGCGCCACCTTGCTGCACTGTATTTACTGACCTCATCCCCTATTGTTGGGTATGGAAGATATACTGGATATGGTTTCAGGTTTTTTTTTTTTTTT